CCTCGTCCCCCCTCCCGCCTCAGGAAAACCTCCCCCCGGCTTTAACCCTGCACCTGCCGTGGACAGAGCAGGGCGCGCCGACCTGTGGTCACACGCAAAAGGATGAACTGACAGACCAACACGTGGACACTGGGCCTGCCCAGGATTTGGGGTCAGACCTCAAGTTGGGGAAGAAAGGAGGCAGCGGTGGGCTGCACAACACGCGTACGGTGGGAGGAGTTCCGAATGGGACTCAGCCTGGGAAGCACCGGCGAGGGGGCGGGCCAGCAGAACCTGGGGGCTTGAGGGGCGGGCGCCTGCCCACCGCCGCTGCGCTCAGGAGTCCAAGGACACTCTTCGCAGCGGCGCCCCCTGGAGGCCACTTGGGGTGTGGCCTGGGCCTGTAATAGGGGCTATGGCTGGGTCGCCCTTCCCTAGGCACAGAATAGGCCTTGTGGTGTACACTGAGGCTAGCAGGGAGGGAGAAACAAACAGTGCCAGACTCACTACTTGACAGGCCTCTCCACAAGCTTGGGTGGGAAGGTATCTCTGAGCAGAGGGTGAAGAGTCAGAGGCCAAGGGACCTCCCAGGCAGGTCATTCTGGACTTAACTCTGTAGGGCCTGAGGCCTGGGCTACTCTGGTGCCCAAGACACTTTGTGACTGTCCAACTTCAAGGTTCTGGGCCTGCCTCTAGCCAACTCTGAAGTCAGGGGAGAGCAAGTTGGTATGACAGAGGCTGACACCTCAGACCCAGACTCTGGCCCAGCCTATCTTCTGAGCATTCAGAGTATTGGCTAAGTCTGGGTTGGGGGTCCATTTATAAAAGTCAGTGGTCACCTATGAAAAGAGGGCCTCCTGGTTGTCTGTGTTTGCTACAATCTTGTTTCTCTTTCATTGACAGTGTCTGCCTCACTTTCCCCAGAAGCACACCTGGAGACTGAGATTCAAGTGCATATAGTTAATGTGAGATGAGGGCAAGCAGCACCAGCAGACGAATGGCAAGGAGACAGGGAAAGCAGTCAATAAAGGGTGTCATCAAGCAAGTTCCCACTGTGGGCAAAAAAGGGACCAAATCCTTCTGGAGACTCTGGGAACCAGTGTAGAACTTGGGCATCACATTTTTGTTCCCCTCAGAGCAAGGGTTACTAAGCTACTCATTCTCAAATCTTTATCAGTCCTGGGTTGAGAGGAAAGGTGCCTTTGGTCATAGCAATAGAGACCAATCTGACCGTTCAGACTCCTAGGGTTTATTTTTACTGGTGTCCTCTCATCTGGTGCTGCTTGGGCGGTGGGCCCTGTAAGCACCACCCTCTGCTGGCTCCAGGGTACAAGTGGAAAGATTGAGATCCCACTCTCTTAGGCCAAAGGTCAAGGATTTGGAGCAGAGTTAAGACTTGAGGGAGGGCTTCCTATCATTGAGGGAGCTGAGGCTGGACCAGGATCCTTCCATCACACCTGTGGGCATGTTTGTAAGCGAGTACACTCAGGCCCACACTGGTATAGTGGGACTCTCAGATTGGACATGCCCGGCTTTGGGCTTATGTGCAATAACATGTGTGCACACCAGCCTTTCAAGCCACATGCAGTGGGCTGCATTCTCAGAAAGAGAAGGGAGGGTCTGCTGTCCTTAGAGATACACCTGCTGCAAAATAAAGGAACTCCAGTGGGACACTCTCAGGCAGGGGATACTCCTCTTTCACTTTCTGGTCAAGTACCTGGGACAGAGGCAGGCCTTGTCAGTGGCTGCAGGAGGACTGGCGAATGAAAGATGGCTTGGACCTTGCCAGCAATCCCTCCCAGATGTCGCTGCACCACCAGGTCCCTGAGAAAGGGTGTCCGGCTCAGGCACAGTCCTGCCTCGGGCAGCGTCCGAAAGCGCCTCTGTCCCTCACACTCCTGCACAGGCCCGCAAGAGTTTGGAGCGGTCCCCGCAGCCACCTCCTCCAGGAAGTCTTCCCTGGTTCCCACTTGTCCAGCCCCCAGACTTTGGGGGAAACGGGGTCTTGAGGGGTCAAGGGTCACTAGGGCGGGCCAGGTCCCGGAAGCGGAAGCGCAGCGCACTTCCGGTGCGCAGCGGGCGGCCATGTTGGAGCGGCGGAGGCGGCGCAGAGGCGCGTCCAGTGTCCCCGCGGCGGCGCCGGTAGGTTCGGGCCGTGGG